GTTCCTTGAACGTGAGCACCTGGCCCGGTTCGATGACGACGAAGGTGTCATCCCCATATCGCGCCCGGCATTTCGGTCTGTGGTGTTGGAAGACCAGCGACTCCCGCCGTTGTAGGACCGCCTCGGCTATGAGTCCGAGGTATTTGTTAGTAGGTATTTGTCAGCCAATGAACAGTACAAAAAGGGAGGTCTTCGGAACACTTTGCCTAGTTGCAGTATCCTCTTATGAAACTATAGACGTTGAATTGGTATTCGTTGGGAGTTCATGCGAAGTGCGGGCAAGAACTGAAGGTCTCAGTTTATTAAGTTACAGCATTATCAGTTAAAAAAGATAGATGCACTACTTCCATCGTTTGGCCCTGTTTCTCTAATACTTATGCTTTCACCACCCGTGCAAATTGTTATATATGAATTTTACTTCTATACAAGGACACGTACTAAGTGGGAGATCACAGTTTGCAGATTGTTAGTTTGAACAAATGACGAAATAGCGGTTGTTTCGAAAACAAAGTACAATAGGTTAACAATTTTCGATATAAGGGAACTTCCGTAAATGTTCCCATGGTTAACTTGACAAGTCAGTTTATTAGGCAAACATGTTTTCGGCAATTCTTCGTCAAGCCCTTGCCATGCATCGGTCAGACGATATTATTGTACCCGAGTTCGCTAATACAGACATGGCTGAATACATTTCACGTGTCAGCTTTTTGAGGGGGCTGCTTTCATATGGGGCATAACACTGACGATCTTCAAGTAAGTATTTGGATTCCTGATGGTCGTCTCTTCTTTTCCGTTCATCATCCCCGGAAGAGGAAGAAGAAGAAGAAAAAGGGGGTGAGTTCTGGGAACAAGATATATTTTAGCTCAGGTTCCAAAAACCATCTCGCTTCCATCGTCGGCCAGTGGTGGCCGTTCTCTTGCTGGTGTCAGTAAGTTTGTCCAACCGCTAGCCTGACGCCTGATGCCAGTGTGTCAGTCGATTGTACCGATCGATTTTTGTGGCTGTTTGAATTGCTTGCGCCCTCGCGCTTCCATGAGGTGTGCTAAGTCGATTGCGGGCATCCTGATCGTTTCCACCTTCTTCGCTCGCAGCTGCCGGCTTTCCGCCTTGCGTATCTTCATTCGCCCGACCTATTGCTCCATTCTGAGCAGGTTTTAGCCTTCTGCAGAGCGCTTGATAGGTGGGATGGAGTTCAGTGTCTATGTTAAGTATGCCAGTCGACGGCGCAGGCAATTCAAACAGTCACAACAATGGATCGGTACAATCGATTGACACGTAAGCCTTAGGCGACAGGCTAGCGGTTGACAAACTTACTGACACTAGCAAGAGAACGGTCATCATGCTCTGATGCTGGAAGCGAGAATACTTCTCGAACGTCAACTAAAATAAAACCTGGTCCCAGAAGTCACCCCTTCTCCTTCTTCCTGTTCCCGGGATGGTGAAAGGGATATTATATCTGGACCTCGAATTTTTTTTGCATAGTAGTCTGTTTTGTCCAATACAACGGTGGAACGCCCCCTATCGGCTAGCACGATGACAATGACCCGGTCGGCCTTGAGTCAAGTCAAGGCAAGTCAAATTTATTAAAGGAAATATAGGAAAACGCCTTTGAACTCCCTCTTGGTACATAGGATTTAAGAAATGCATCGGCACAGCCGAAAATTCCAAAGAAGTCGTTGACACAATTGTAGACGACTACTCGCTTGTTTCAAGTAATACAGTCACACTCAGTTCACACGAGCCAGCAGTGTGACTGAGCAAAAAGAGCAGACAGTGAAAAAACTCCTAAGGCTGGCTCATAATGGAATGTCATTTGTGGTTTTCAGGAGAAAAACTGTCGCTTGAAGTGTCTTTAGTACATCGCGATCGACCTTGGGAAACACTTTGTACGGTTGATGAGCCATAAGGGTGAACGATACCTGATATCGCTTAGGGCTCGTCGTTTCCTCCGTCGCTTCCGTCGTATAAGTGACCGATTCCACAGAGGCAATCATGTTAGCAGATTAAGTGTCAACCATGTTGTATGAGGCTTCGTGCTGTAGATCCTGTATTCGCTCCTCCGCCAGTTACTTCGAAGACAGTTTATGTATCAATATGTCGTTCCTGGATAACGTTATATTATGCAGTTTCCGAAATTTGTTGTCCAGTGTCCTTTCGCCAATCGCTTGCTTTTGGCGGGCTATATCACCCACTCTCTACTGTCTCTGCCCATGAACTCACAACGCCTGGTGTTCTCTTGGCGTTATTTGCGCGGCCTCGCATTGCATTCTAGAAGTATCACATGACTTATTCCTTTTTAAATGTTAAAACAATGCAAATCTTGCTATTTCCATGTTCACCAAGGTTCGTACGTAACAAACTTCAGGAAAACGCTATCTTTCAGACACTTGTGTTGAAACCGGATCTGTGCATAAATTGACGCATCCCAAGAAATATAATTTAAAAGAAAAGATTCTTTGGAAAAAGGATAAAACTTTATTGAAGAGTTTCGACGCTGGCACACCGGGTCGTCTTCGGACGCGAGGGAAATGTGTGAAGAGCAGTGCGCATTTTTAAACGTGCCAAAAATCGATAATGCTTCATCATCCATGGTCAATAGCATGTTTTGGTGGAAAAACAGGAAGGTCCATCACTACACGCATATGTGAACATCAATAAGGGCTAAAGAATCGCCACCAGCTGTCCGAAGTCGCCATGCATTCGCTTGAATGTGAGCACAAGTTTGCATGGGACCATACCCGCATAGTAGGTTCCTGCTCATACAAGAAACACCGAGAATTTTTGGAGGACATTAATTCTGACGAACCATACATCAACAAACATGTTGATTTGAATTAAATATATACCAATCTCCAAAAAGCCTGGAAAACGTGCCAACCACCAACGAAACATTATCGAT